GGCATACACCATTAAATTTAACGGTCAATATTTAATCTGTTATATATTCATTTCTATCTCAACTAAAACTGGAAATATTAAAACATAAATATAAAAATCAATAAAAAAACAAAGTCAAATTAATCTGGTCTATAGCAGACATGGAAATACTTAAAAGTTGAGAATATTTAACAGAAAGGAAAATATCACAACCCAACAAAATGTGAACAATTGTTCGCCGATTTTCTTGAATCAATATCGATGTACTAAAAAGTTGAGAATACTTGAAAGCCAGCAAGATATGAAGATAACAATTTTTCACACATTGTTAGGTTGAGCCCAATTAGCTGATCCAACTCAATAATATGAGAAAAATTGTTCGCCGATATTCTTGGATCAATATCGATATCCTGAAAAGTTGACAATACTTGAAAGCCAGCAAGATATGAAGATAACAACTTTTCACGCATTGTTAGGTTGAGCCCAATTAGCTGACCCAACTCAATAATATGTGAAAAATTGTTCGCCGATATTTTCAGACATTAATTGGAAGTCCTGAAAAGTTGCGAATACTTGAAAGCCAACAAGATATGAGAAAAACAGTTTTTCATACATTGTTGGGTTAGGTTGGGCTCAATTAGCCAACCCAACCCAACAATATGTGAAAAATTGTTCGCCGATATTCTTAGACATTAATATGGAAATTCTGAAATGTTGAGAATACAGTATAGTACCGATTAATTGTGATAATCGGAGGAAAATAGAAACCGGATAATCGAAAACCACGGATAATACAACCTAACGTTTTTAAAATTATTGAAATACGAATGTTTAATTTCTGTTCTAAGAAAAGGTTAGAGAATTGTATAATGAAAGAAATAAACTGGTGTAAAACAACGTTCTTTACTATAAAANTCATTTTCTGAGTTAATTAGGAATAGTTTTAGCACAAAATTTTATTTCCATCTCTTTTAAGTTTGGATTTAGTAGCTATAACTATGTTAGAATAATTTAAATTACAGCATTTTCGAATAAAGGTTAGGTTGTGTTGGTAAAACTGTTTAATGGAACATAACCTTATATTAGAAATGGTTCTTGGGTTGATATGGAATATTTTTGATCAACAAGAATCTCTTCTATCACTTTTAGTTTTTGAGTTAGAAGCTATTATATTGTAAGAAACGTGAAATTCCAAAATGTTTGTTATTTGGGTTCGTGTAGGTTGGTAAACCTGTTCGATGGGTTATAATTGTGCATTAAAATTATTTTTGAGTTAATTAGGAATAGTTTTAGTACATAAATCTTTTTTCATCTCTTTTAAGTTTGGATTTAGTAGCTATAACTATGTTAAAATAATTGAAATTACAGCATTTTCGATAAAGGTTAGGTTGTGTTGGTAAAACTGTTTAATGGAACATAACGTTATATTAGAAATGGTTCTTGGGTTGATATGGAATGTTTTTGATCAACAAGAATCTCTTCTATCACTTTTAGTTTTTGAGTTAGAACCTATTATATTGTAAAAAACGTGAAATTCCAAAATGTTTGTTATTTGGGTTTGTGTAGGTTGGTAAAACTGCTCGATGGGTTATAATTTTGAATAAAAATCATTTTCTGAGTTAATTAGGAATAGTTTTAGCACAAAATTTTATTTCCATCTCTTTTAAGTTTGGATTTAGTAGCTATAACTATGTTAGAATAATTGAAATTACAGCATTTTCGATAAAGGTTAGGTTGTGTTGGTAAAACTGTTTAATGGAACATAACCTTATATTAGAAATGGTTCTTGGGTTGATATGGAATGTTTTTGATCAACAAGACTCTCTTCTATCACTTTTAGTTTTTGAGTTAGAACCTATTATATTGTAAGAAACGTGAAATTCCAAAATGTTTGTTATTTGGCTTCGTGTAGGTTGGTAAAACTGCGCGATGGGTTATAATTTTCAATAAAAATCATTTTCTGAGTTAATTAGGAACAGTTTTAACACAAAATTTTATTTCCATCTCTTTTAAGTTTGAATTTAGTAGCTATAATGATGTTAGAAACATTGAAATTACAACATTTTAAAATAAAGGTTAGATTATGTTGGTAAAGCTGTTTGATGGAATATAACCTTATATTAGAAACGTTTCTTGGGTTGATATGGAATGTTTTTGATCAACAAGAATCTCGTCTATCACTTTTAGTTTTTGAGTTAGAACGTATTATATTGTAAGAAACGTGAAATTTTAAAATATTTGTTATTTGGGTTCGTATAGGTTGGTAAAACTGCTCGATGGGTTATAATTGTGCATAAAAATTATTTTTTGAGTTAATTAGGAATATTTTTAGCACAAAAATCTTTTTCCATCTCTTTTAAGTTTGTATTTAGTAGCTATAGATGTTAGAAATATTGAAATTACAGCATTTTCAAAAAACCTTACATTATAAATATTCCGTGGGTTGATATGGACTTTTTTGATCAACAAGAATCTTTTCTATCTCTTTTAGTCTTTGAGTTATCACTATAGTTATCATTATAGGGGTAAAATTTTGAAATTTTTGTTTTTTGGTTAAATAGGATCGGTTTTNGGAGGAAAATAGAAACCGGATAATCGAAAACCACGGATAATACAACCTAACGTTTTTAAAATTATTGAAATACGAATGTTTAATTTCTGTTCTAAGAAAAGGTTAGAGAATTGTATAATGAAAGAAATAAACTGGTGTAAAACAACGTTCTTTACTATAAAACTAAATAATAACAAAACACCTAATTATTTTTAAAAAAACTCGGTTATTTTTACTTGTTTTCTTTTCTGGTTATTTATCTTTTGTGTAATATTTGTTATGAAAGTACGAATTTGTAAAATGTCTATATCATCTTGCTGTCCCATAAAATTTAAAAGAGTTTCAGTATCTGCTAGTGCTTCCTTACAACTTACTTTGGATTGTAGATCTTCTACATCATCATTCTACATTCTTGGAATCAACTCGGTTTAGAGATTGGTTTGGTGACACTATCGACTAGATCATCGTCGGCCATGTGTTCACAGTCCAAAACATTCGAGTCAATATTTAGCCACTCTAGAATATTTTTGTCATCCAATTCTNTGAAATTCCTAAATTTTTGTTGTTTGGGTTCGTGTAGGTTGGTAAAACTGCTCGATGGGTTATAATTGTGAATTAAAATCATTTTCTAAGTTAATTAGGAATAGTTTTAGCACAAAAATACTTTTCCATCGCTTTTAAGTTTGGATTTAGTAGCTATAATGATGTTAGAAACGTTGAAATTGCAGCATTTTCAAATAAGGGTTAGGTTGTGTTGGTAAAACTGTTTAATGGAATATAACCTTATATTAGAAATGTTTCTTGGGTTGATATGGAATGTTTTTAATCAACAAGAATCTCTTCTATCTCTTTTAGTTTTTGAGTTATAACTTATTAAATTGTAGAAAACATGAAATTCCGAAATTTTTATCTTTTGGGATCGTGTGGGTTGGTAAAACTGCTCGATGGGTTATAATTGTGAATTAAAATCATTTCTTGAGTTAATTAGGAATAGTTTTAGCACAACAATATTTTTCCATCTCTTTTAAGTTTGGATTTAGTATCTATAATGATGTAATCATTAAAATTACAGCATTTTCAAATAAGGTTTAGGTTGTGTTAGTAAAACTGTTTAATGGAATATAACCTTACATTAGAAATGTTTCTTGGGTTGATATGATATGTTTTTGATCAACAAGAATTTCGTCTATCTCTTTTAGTTTTTGAGTTATAACCTATTATATTGTAAAAAACATGAAATTCCGAATTTTTTATTTTTTTTAGGATCGTGTAGGTTGGTAAAACTGCTCGATGGGTTATAATTGTGCATTAAAATCGTTTTTTAAGTTAATCAGGAATAGTTTTAGTACGGCCCTTAATTAAAGCAAGGTACGAACAATTTGCGTGGAAGCGAGTCAACGAAAAAGAGAAGAAAACAAACGTAAATGGAACGAAAGAAAGTTCCAACGAAACTGCATCACGTGTATCAAGCAAATATTGATACAAGAATCCGTATTCCGAAGGAATTTCGCTTTATCGGCCCCCGCCAATGGCCCATTCAAACGATGTCTAAAAGATAGATTGCCCCGGGTTTCATCGATCAACGACGTCCGCCTAAGATCCTCGGATTGAGTGACTATATGATTTATGTAATCATAAGTCTATATCCCTTCCCGTCGAAGAAAAATCGAAATCCTATCCTCACCGAGTTCCCAGTTAAATTACCCTTCGTTTTCAATTTTTCTTATGCATATTCAACGATTGTGTTTTCCATATACATTAAAATTCGTACAATTTTTCCTCTGTACTTTGCAATCCGATAAAATTAAGTGGATTTGTGTCGCGATCGCAAATCTAATGCCGCGGTACATCAAGGGGATTTCCTATACATATTATTTTATGGGGGTCGCATATTCTCAGCATCCAACCCAAACGGGATTCCCACTTGGAAATTCCAATCTCGTATACCGAAGGAAAAACGCCTGTTCCTTTAGAAGGAAGGAGATTTCTTTTTCGAGAAATCTCGCCCCGTTATGCTTTCTTATACACTTTTATGTACTATATTTTATTGAAATTTTCATGTTTCTATTTTGATAAAATTCCAAAGTAGAGATACTTTTAACGAAAAAATTTAAAGAACAAGGTGACAACATACAGACAAGTATTTTAAATTTCCCCCCCTAAGCCGACATGCAAAATCGAGTAACTCGCATAAGAATCCTCCACGTACTCCACCCCACGACTTAACCGCACGAGAAATCTCCATGTTGCTGTCAAGCGCGATTTAAGATGTTACTTTTATTTCATTTTTCCTTCAAAACAATTTACTACTTTTGATTTCTCGGAGAATTTGAACAAGATGTAATTTTGCTTCTAAAAGAGACCAATAACGTTTGAGTTTGTAAATCTTTGCTTGAACGACAAAACAGCAATAAATTCACATTGTTTGTTGTAGTATATACTCGCAACTGAGTCTCTTTATCTTTTGCAGTTCATAGGAACGCAGGTCGTCGGTTTCCTGGGTTACGTCGCTGGATCTGCTGTCCTGCTGGATAACACCACGAAGAACTCTAACATGCAGCCGATCGTTAGGGAAAGCATGCGCAGCCTTATCATGAACAGCCGGTACGACAAAGGACAGGAGATACTCGCCATGATCCAGGAAAATGTAAGTGCACTTGAAGATTTAGTTAAGTAGATAAGAAATCGTTTAATAGCTCGACCCCAAAGTCCACTAAAGTAGAAAACTTTGTACTTTCAAGAAGAATTTAGAAATCTCCGTATAATCATATTAATTTGCAAATATTAGTTTAATTATTTTAATTTAATTTAATTATTTTAATTAAACGTATTCGAAGGTTGTAGTGAAAATAACCTGGCAACAACTCCGGTTTGCTCTCGAAATAATCTAATCCGAAACCTTCTCGAAACTAGCCGCAACGCTTTCGGCTTCGCGACCGGTAGATCGGAAATTTGTTGGCTCCTGGTGCAATTAAATTGTCTCCGCGAATAGTTTGTGTTTGCCTTCGGCGGTAGATGCATGCCATCGGCCAAGCCCGGATTCCACAAAGAGATCCCTCTACACCGCTAAGCCCCTCCAGCAATCCGATTCCAATTATTGACGAAACTATTAACTGCTTCCGAAACTGTAATTTCGTAATTTGGGGTTTACCAGTACCGGAAGCACCTACGGCCTCCGCTATATTTTATTAAAGCGAGTCTTGATGCTGCGTGATTTCGCCTTATAGCATCTACACTAACAATCGCTTTGAAAATTGAATTGTAACTGATTGTGCTGAAATTTTAAGTGTTATTAAAAGATTATTGGTTTAATATGGAATGTTTTTGCTCACTAAGATTTTATTCTACCACTTTTACTTTTTAAGTTATAATCAGTTATATTATTGGATATGTCGAATCCCATGATTTTTGTTTTTAGTCGGGTAAGATAGTGGAAGTGCTCGGTGGGATATAATCCTATCTTAGACATGTTTTATGGGTTAATATGGAAGTTTTTATTTCCCAACATTTTTTCTGTCTCTTTTAGATTTTGAGTTATAACGTTCTATGTTGTAGAAAACGTGAAATTCCGAAATTTTTGAATTTGAGTTAATCTAAGTTGGTAAATCCGCTCGATGGGTTATAATTGTGAATTAAAATCATTTTCTGAGTTAATTAGGTATAGTTTTAGCGCAAAATTTTATTTACATCTCTTTTAAGTTTGGATTTAGTAGCTATAATGATGTTAGAAACATTGTAATTATAACATTTTTAAGTAAAGGTTAGGTTGTGTTGGTANATTTTTTAACGACTGAAACACATCTAAAGGTTCATTACCAGGCATAGGATATGTTCTCGAAGCATAATTGAGTTGCAAAACTATAAAAAGGAGCATTGTTGATCCATGGGTCGCATTTGGCTGGCAACGCTTCAACTGGTGAATAAGATGGAGCATTATCAAGAAGCAATATTGCATTTTGAGGGAGACTTTTGCAGTCCACATATTTTTTTACGTATCGAACAAATTTGTTTTTAAGCCATATTTCAAAAATGTCTCGTGTCATCCACGCAGAACGGTTGTTATAGTATCGGACTTGGAGTTATTTTATGTCTTTTAACACGTTGACTGCCGCGGGTATATCACGCGTATTACTACACTACAGAAGTGTGTACCAGTTTTGATACACACGGCAGTCAACGTGTTAAATCTCTAGGCGATTTTGACTTCCCTACTATAGCTAATTTCAGCTTATATTTTTCACCAGCCTTTGACCAACATAACGCTGTAATCCGATCTTTACTAATTTTATAGCCAGGAGCAGCTTTTTCTTTAGCAGATGCTAATGTACGGGTGGGAATTGTACGCATATAGAGGCCGGTCTCATCAGGCATATTTAGGCAGATACTAAACCCCTCTTTTTAATAGCGTTTGATAACGTACAAAAAATTGTAGCTCCAACATTGTCAGCACTAAGCTGCTCTCCTTGAATTTGCAATTCTCTAATTCCATGCCTTTCTTTAAAACGTCGCAACCAACCTGTTGAAAGTGTAAGTCTTTCAGTGATTTGTCACTTTTCTGCAAAGTATAGTNGACTTTTTTTGATCAACAAGAATCTTTTCTATCTCTTTTAGTCTTTGAGTTATCACTATAGTTATCATTATAGGGGTAAAATTTTGAAATTTTTGTTTTTTGGTTAAATAGGATCGGTTTTTCAATTCATTTTGTTTTTCATCTACTTTTATATTCCCCAAAGTTGTAGTTTTTAAATATTTTGCTAATATTGTGTTGAAAATGATACTACTATTGTCTGTAAAACCGTGTAGTCTCGTTTCTCCAAATGAGAGTTAATAGGATTTAATTCCCTGCGGTTCGCCCGAAATACTCTAATTCTGCGGAAGCTCGTTATCTGCTAACAAAACAACGAGTCGACTTCTCAAGGTCGTTGTTTGGGTCGTTGAAGACGGTTTCATCGAAAACTGCAACCCATTGAATTTTACGACGTCAATAAAATCTTTACAGATAAGGGTATAGGGGGCGTAAGGGTTTACATATTAAATTTACAATTCAACGTTTCGGGACTTTTCAACGTTCGATATATCGAATGGATATTACAAATGGACACGGTAATGGTCGTTTCTGAACATCCGTTTCTACGGTAATAAGGGTTGGGAGACCGCGTCGGGGGTTAATATTGAATTCGCGTAAAAATGGAGATACAAATAAATCATGTCTCATGTAATATTGCCGTTTGGACCGTAAAAGAGGGCGGTTTCGAAGAGGTAAGTTTTAGAAACTGGAAAGATATTGAGGACCGATGTAGCAAATGTAATACGAAGAGTTTTATGACATTAAAGTGTTTCTAAAGAGTGTTCGACAAAGAATAGTCGTACTTTTGAAATCCGTCTTTTGTTGGTTTTCGCTTCACCTGTACATCCGTAGCTTACTGACACGAATGAAGAGGGGAAAATCCGAAAGTTGTAACAAAGAAAAGCTCAGAGCGCAATTTTCCCACCGACTTATTTTTAAATCTAGCGCGGACCGACCGCATGCCTCTTAATATTTCACGTCAAATACATTCAATTCCGGTTTTACTTAAATTGGTTCCTACGCGAATTCAACAGGAATTTAAGAACGAGAATAGGAATAAGAATTTAAGAATACGAATTTACTGCGGTGTTTTCTAAATTGGAAACCGCAACGGGCCACTACAACAAAATTACAATGAGCTCGAAAAATACTGCCGGATTACGAAATTTATTATTAGTCAATAAATAGGAACGCGTGACAGTTTTGAAATCGACTTCGATCGACTTATATCTTCGCTCGGTTTGCGCTGCTCGTATATCTTTGGCCAGATCGGGTCCAATCTCGCTTTTGAACTTAATGATACCTCGTAAAGGAATTAAGTTTAGATTGCTCTGTCGCCGAGATGAAATATTTTTATTATATCCTTTAAGAGGATATCAAAAGTTCTAATAACCCGACACTTCTTATTCCAACCAAAAACTTTTTATAATTGTTACTAATGCAATTTTCGACTTTTTCAGATTGGATGCTGCGGCGCTGACGGCCCGGGAGATTACATTGACCTTCGCAAACCTTTACCCAGAGAATGTAGAGACACAGTCACCGGAAACGCGTTTTTCCATGGTTGCGTTTCTGAACTAACGTGGTTCTTTGAAGAAAAAACTGCTTGGATTGCAGCATTGGCTATGACAGCTGCTATGTTTCATGTAAGTTAAACTTTTTTATTTTATTAGCGGGTAATTTATCTAAAATTAGATTGTTTACAAATCCCATTTGATCGAGATAAAAGATATAATAAAGAAAAATATAAGGGAATTCTTTTTGTGTCTCGAATATAATAAAATTATTATCTCGATGGTCCTAAAATTAATTATCTTGTATTTTTAGGTATTCCACATCGTTATGACGTTTGTCTTAACAAGAGCTTTGGCGAAAGAGGCGGATGAAACGACGGGATATAGACGCTAAAAATAAGTTTTATTTAGGTTAAGCCTTTTTACGTAGAATTAAATCTTTTTATTTGATAACATCGACAACATAATTATTAATAGCAGTAAAGTTTGTTAAAATTAATTAATTTATAAATTTTAAGGAAAATAAAGTTAGAAAGATTTTTCTTCACCACATCTAATAATTTATGTGCTGAAAACCCCGTACAACCTCCTACAAATCATATAGAAACGTCAGTGAAAGGTTCGTGTTTATGACGTACCCGGTTTCAGTGTAAACACATTTTCATTTCGAGCTCGCCATTCTTTATTTTTGGTTGGACATGGGGGCATCTGCATTAGTGACCCCGATGCGTGGGTCATTTCCTAAATACACTCTATTGATTCGATCCCCTAACACCAACCGCACCCTAACCGCACCCCCATGTCTCGCTTTAGACAATATCGTCAAGTAATATCCGTTATCCGTCCTTCGGGTCTTTGATTAAAGCACGTAAAGGGTGTACGTTACCTTAAAGCGCGCTTGGTATAATCAAGGCGCCGCGTTGGTCGCGAAGCTCGGTATCGGGAAAATATCCGTTCGTTGTCTTACTTTCAAAATAACATCTTCCGCAGAATACTAATGGCCAAATAAACGACGAAGACACGAAAACGGTGGATAATTTAACTCAAATTGGATCGAGTCAAAATCAGAACTGCAATAAACAGTTTTAGAAGCCATTATTTGCGGGGTGCAAATGTCATGCCTATTAAAATTGGCAGTTGGAGGGAGTTGCAATCGAAATGCCATCAAACTTAATCGAATAACAATCAATTTAAACTGCGAGAATTGTGGGGCTTAGAGCGAAGGGCTATTACTGTTAATTAGCACTTTGATTACGTCGGATTTAACGAGCTGACAAACTATTTGCTGTGAAGACTTAAGATTCATTAAAATAATTTTATTTGAATGTTCAAAACTAATTGGAAAATGTAATCTTTATTTCACTCAAACGAACAAGATTTTGTTGCAATTTTGCCGATAAATATTTAATTATTTAACGTTATTAATCATCATTCCATTGAGATGTTTCCAATCTGACATTCATTCTGATAGTTTCAATTCATTCAGAATCGGCATAGCAAACACGAACCTTCTGCGACATCTCCACTAGCTAGCAATATTCCGTAACAAAGCAGTCTACGTAATTTAAACCTAAGCGATATCCGGGCCAATCTTACAAGACGTTAGACGGTAAAATAATATCTGAAGGAAAATGAAGGAGCTATTGGCATGCAGGATGAGATATTAGACAAGCTATTTGCATTTACTTATCTTTGTTGATGAGAATGGTTCCGAGATCACAGCTCCTACTAATATTGCTAAACATTTTAATAATTTTTTTATCAATTCTGTTGAAAAATTGGTACTTTAGGACAACATAGGAAGTAAGGATCACTCACTTTTCTTGACTTCCGTTACACCACTAGAAGTCGCTACCATAATCTATATCTCTCAAGCATTCGAGCGGCTACCACGATATACCTTGTTCCTTACTAGACAAAGTTGTGACTGACACGTTAACAGTTTTGCCATATTAAAAATTTTGATAAGACCGTTTTTCAGTGTCACTTAATTAAAGCCCTAATAAGTCCACGCAGGACGCCGTTTTGGATTTCTAAACATAGGTTGAGGGCTCGATGCTCGTTTTGTTTGCTGTGGTCTGTTTTTTGACCTATCTAGGGCATTAAATCACCAACTACTTTTACAAAAATTAAATAGGTACGGTATCAGAGACCATGGTTTGAACTGGATTGAAAGTTACCTGAGTGGCAGACAACAATGAGTAAAGTGGTCACAAAACAATAGTACAGTCAGTTCATCCCTTCTCAGTAGATAAGAAACGAGAGTTCTGCTATAAGTATAGGGAGAGTGACTAACTTAAATCTGGGAAAAAAAAGTAACTAGATTTAGGTTGATATCTTTGATTATATATAATATGGATTGAGCCAACGAGAGAGATAGCTTGCGCAAGGTGATCGAACCGAGATAGACATAGAAGCGTACTGACATATAATGGGCGTGCGTTAATTTTTTTTTGATTTATAAGATAAAAAACTATCAATTAGAAGTAACATTTATAATACTTACAGGTGATGTGAAACTGTATTATCGCGAACTTTGCACACGAAACAATACATTTTTAAACATAACGGTGTGACTGGCTGTGACACAANGGGTTATAATTGTGAATTAAAATCATTTTCTGAGTTAATTAGGTATAGTTTTAGCGCAAAATTTTATTTACATCTCTTTTAAGTTTGGATTTAGTAGCTATAATGATGTTAGAAACATTGTAATTATAACATTTTTAAGTAAAGGTTAGGTTGTGTTGGTAAAACTGTTTGACGGAATATAACCTAATATTAGACATGTTTCTTGGGTTGATATGGAATGTTTTTGATCAACAAGAATCTCTTCTATCACTTTTAGTTTTTGAGTTAGAACCTATTATATTGTAAGAAGCGTGAAATTCCTAAATTTTTGTTGTTTGGGTTCGTGTAGGTTGGTAAAACTGCTCGATGGGTTATAAGTGTGAATTAAAATCATTTTCTAAGTTAATTAGGAATAGTTTTAGCACAAAAATATTTCTCCATCTCTTTTAAGTTTGGATTTAGTAGCTATGTTAGAAACGTTGAAATCACAGCATTTTCAAAAAAAGGTTAGTTTGTGTTGGTAAAACTGTTTAATGGAATATAACCTTGCATTAGAAATGTATCTTGGGTTGATATGGAATGTTTTTGATTAACAAGAATCTCTTCTGTCTCTTTTAGTTTTTCAGTTATAACCTATTATATTGTAGAAAACATGAAATTCCAAAATGTTTGTTATTTTGGTTCATGTAGGTTGGTAAAACTGCTCGATGGGTTATAATTGTGCATTAAAATTATTTTTTGAGTTAATTAGGAATCGCTTTAGCACAAAAACCTTTTTCCATCTCTTTTAAGTTTGGATTTAGTAGCTATAATGATGTTAGAAACATTGAAATTACGGCATTTTCAAATAAAGGTTAGGTTATGTTGGTAAAACTGTTTAATGGAATATAACCTTATATTAGAAATGTTTCTTGGGTTGATATGGAATGTTTTTGATCCACAAGAATTTCTTCTATCTCTTTTAGTTTTTAAGTTAGAACCTATTATATTGTAAGAAACGTGAAATTCCAAAATGTTTGTTATTTGGGTTCGTGTAGGTTGGTAAAACTGCTCGATGGGTTATAATAATGCATTAAAATTATTTTTTGAGTTAATTAGGTATAGTTTTAGCACGAAATTTTTTTTTCCATCTCTTTTAAATTTGGATTTAGTAGCTATAATGATGTTAGAATCATTGAAATTACAGCATTTTCGTATAAAGGTTAGGTTGTGTTGGTAAAACTGTTTAATGGAATATAACCTTATATTAGAAATGTTTCTTGGATTGATATGGAATGTTTTTGATCAACAAGAATCTCTTCTATCTATTTTAGTTTTTGAGTTAGAACCTATTATATTGTAAGTAACGTGAAATTCCAAAATGTTTGTTATTTGGGTTCGTGTAGGTTGGGAAAACTGCTCGATAGGTTATAATTGTGCATTAAAATTATTTTTTGAGTAGATTANTACCGTTTTATGTCTATCTTTGTTACACTTTCACATTATCGCTTTCCATCTGCGTCTATTCACCTTGAGCCACATTTTTGTTAGTAGATATATTCAGTTAGCTCAATCCATATTATATATAATCAAAGGTTGATATTTATTTAGATAGGTCTAATTCCTAAATATTCCTGCGCAAGTGTACTGTAGATATGAGTTCAAGGCTAAATTTTGGTAAAATTTTTAGGTTAGGTTTTTAATCATCCCACACCTCGCCGCAATAAGTATAGAACTGTACCATTTTTTAAATTTTTTACGTGTGACGTAAGCTTTCAACCTTCCGCTAGGTGATGCCCCCCTTTCCACGTACAGAAATCTCTTGGGTTAAGTTCCACTACCCACCGTTAAGTGGCGCGATCTAGTTACTTTTCCAATACCAACCTAAATCTAGTTACTTTTTCCCACAGATTTAAGTTGGTCACTTTCCCTATACTTATAACTCTTCTCCTTATATGATATGGAGTGCCGCAAGGAAATATATTGGGACCATTGCTGTTTATCTTGTACATAAATGATGTGCCATTATGTTGTGTAAAATATAGGCAAATATTATTTGCTGACGATCGCTCGGATTCAATAAAAGCTGATTCCTGAGTCCACCAGTTATCAATGAGGATTACTAGCGTTACGAATGAAATGTTAGATTGCTGCGAAGCCAACGGATTAATACTAAATTGTAACAAAACGCAACTAACGCATTTTTCCAACAAATTTAATAAACCAGATTTCAGTGTGTTGGGCAAATTTGAGGGGAAATCTGTAGGATTTGTGGATAGTATTAAATTTCTCGTTATTCGATTGGATGCTCACTTTAGCTGGAATGATCACATAAGAGTACCATCTTCGTTTTCCTTCTTAGTCTCCAAACTTCGGAGAGTGCTAAATACTGAAATTGCCAAAACTGTATAGTTTACTCCTACCTTAATTATGGCATTGCATGTTGGAGCAACTCATCAATTTCGCAGCGGACTTTTGTAGCGCAGAAAAACGTCAATAGATGTTCAACTTACCCTACAACGAATCATGTAGAGAAACATTTCAAAATAATCTGCCTAGTATTTATATACTGCAGTCACTCATATATATAAAAGAACACATTACATATTTTATTAAGAGTACTGACGTAAATACCACTTGAGATCAAGCAACTTGATTTTAACCGGTACAAATAGAGGTTAAAAACTGTCCTTAAAATTTTGGATATAATGGCTTCCATGCTCATCGTTACGGATTAAGGTATAAAATATATATAGGTTAACGATGAAATCTTTTATTTATTTTTGCAATCAGTGCTACAAATGTTTCGACAGCTTAGCTGTCTTCTTCAGGAACGACTAGAAATAACACGAAGTTAGTGAAAAACGTTAAATAATCAAAATGAAATGAGCTTTACTGTCAGTTATGTGAAAGACCTTGAAAAATTGTATGTATGGCTAAGTTGGGTTGAATTAGTTTCTTTAAACTCTCAAAAGTACAAAACGAAGTATAAAACATACAAC